GTCTTCCGAGAAGTAGCGTTCGTATGGCGAGATGGTTCGAAGCGGCGCGTTGTACGACTTGTACGCCGAGCGCGCAACGATCGCGCTCACGACCGCCGCCACCGTCGTGTCGCTCCCCATGATGTCAAACAAGCTCCACAAACCCGAGTCGAATTTGGAAACACTATTTTACGATATATGCCATATATTGAGATGAAATTGCTGTTTTGCGAAAAATCAACATGAAAATCGACAAAAATCTCAACGCGCCTTTCGAAATCTACCATGGCCACGAAGAGTAACTTACTCCAAGGGCTTTGCCGCCTCTAGGTACGTCACGATGCGATGCAGGGCGCTGGTCCCTCGCACGACGACGTCTGCCTTCCACTCGGGGTCTTCGTGGAGGTAAAATGCATCGCGAACTTGGGCAGCGGCACCCAAGCGAGCAGTTGGGTCGTGGTGATATAGTGCATTCTCGAGGCGCAGCGCGCGGAGTACACTGAGACCAGCGATAGTCCCAAACTCTTGCTGCAGCGTGAGCACGGTGGGGGAAGTCTTGGTGAACCACGTCGACGCGTATCCATGAACACCGCAGCCCACGACGCCATCATAACCAGAGAATGCCTCCTTGCCTTCATTCGCCACACTTTGATCAGGGAAAATGCGCCGCCCGACGTCCGCCCGGTTGAAGTCTAACGCATCTTCACCAGTCGCGCCGAGTCCGGTGTGCACATCAATCAGCACAACGTTTTTGAGCCCGTCCACGTCGAAACGAGAGGAAAAGAAGTCGTGAAGAAGTACGTGGCTAGGTTCGAGCTCGGTGCCGCCGTAAAAGAGACCGCGCGGGTCGTGGTACGTGCCAGCCACGGTCGTGCGCTTCCCTGCTTCGTACCCAAAGCGAAGGATGTGCAGCGCAAAGTTCGTCCAGAACGACCAGTCATCCGCAACCACCGGGTTCAGCACAGGGGATAAGTCAACATACCCAAGGTGGTTCGGGTCGCGCGCCCGGACAGCTTCGAATTCGGCGGGTGTCAAGTGGTTGCGGTTCAAATCCACGTTGTGCTCGTTGCAACGACGCAACTATTCCATACCTTGAGCTAAGGTGATAGAGGAACGAATCGGTGCACCTTTGCAAAGCCATACGGATTCACAGCATGCACAAACGCAATGGTGGGTCGGAGCGCGGACGCAGTCGACTGGGTCAGCGTCTTGTTCGACAGAAACGCCGATTGAATCGCACTCCCCGCAAACCCTTCCACACCATGCGTGCCTGACAGATGCACAACCAACGACGATGGCGACCCTCGCACGATTGCCACGTCGATGCTTAAATCCGACATGCCGTCCACGGGATACGGAATCACGTGCAGATCAGCTTGAGCGGATCGCGCAGACTCGCGGAACAAGTGGCGCGCTTGGTAGTAGTCTTCCGAGAAGTAGCGTTCGTATGGCGAGATGGTTCGAAGCGGCGTGTTGTACGACTTGTACGCCGAGCGCGCAACGATCGCGATCACGAGCGCCACAACTGTTGTCAAGCCGCCCATTTTCGCAAGTCTGGTCGCGTTTCCCAAGATTTTGATGTGGGAAAACGTTTTTCTATCAAATTTTTGCATGTTTTTTGACGTTTGCATCCATTCTATGTCAAATGGGACAAAAAGACCAATTTCTTGGGGTCTTTGACAGAACAAAACCTCTACAATCGAATGACTTTATTGCATTGGATTTGATAGGCATTTTCACTCGACCATTTTCGGCTGGCGCTAGTGGCACTGCCGTGATGAGTGCGCCGACGTACGTCGCTCTCTGCTCGACGACGCTAGACGTGACGATCCTGTAGGACAGATGCCGACGTCATGCCGATGTTCTTCCTGAACCCAGAAGGACCTTCCGTCAGAAACAAAAAGGATGAAGGCGCCAGCAACAGCCCAACCAAGTCGTCGTACGCCAACCTGCCAAAGCAAAATTACCAAAACCCATGGGAATCGAACGGGTTGGACCGTCAATACCAATCCCTTCGCAAACGTGCAGGCGGTGCCGACAATTCTTCCGTGTCTTCGGCCACGAGCAATGACTCGACTTCGTCGATTCCTACGGTCGGTCCCACTTCGTGTCCTTGCACACGGCATGACTCACGACCACGCTGTAGAATTCACTCTTTGCGTCGTTGTCGTCAAAACTCGATGCAAGACCGACGCCGCTTTCTTCTTCAACGTCCACGCCGTCATCCCTCCAGTTTTCGACCTTGCACACTCAAGAATGGGGCGACGACGAGCTCTACTGGGTCACGGTGTTTGGCTTTCCCATGCAGGACATGGAGGTGGTCCTATCCTATTTCCAAGCTATCGGGAACGTACGACCAACTTTTCTACTTGCTTTCTACTGCCTCGTGCTCATGCCTCGATGCAGGTTGCGCAATATCGTCATGGCCGGGGCAACTGGCTGTACCTGCGCTACCAAACCCGGCTCCAAGCGGAGAAAGCTCTCATCGAGTCGGGATCCACCCTTGGTGGACGTGTCATGATCGGCGTGAAGCGCTGCCTGGCATGGGAAATGGATGCCGACGCGCCCATGGTCAACGTCACCGACTCGACGTCGCCCCCACCGTCGATGCTGTCGCGGGACCTGCTCGTCAACCCCACCGACGTCGACGTGATGGAGTCGCCGCGTCGGCATGACGACATTTGCTCACGATTTCTCCGATTTCTGTTTCATGTATAGCAAATATACCCCGCGACACGTCCGCCCGATTTTTTTCTTGCTCCTCCTATACGAGAACATCGTCGTCATCTTGATCAAGTTCATTCCGGCGACGATTTTGGTCACGACCGACATGGTTGCGTCCGCCATCGTCGTCAACACTGTCGTGAATGTCGTCGCCGAGCAGCGGCTGCGCCTTGGACATGTGGAGCATGCGGCGCACTTGGTCGTGGCGATCCACGTGGCGTTTGAACAAATGCGGCATCGTTGCCCACATCGGTTTGCTGTCTTCTTTCGTCGAGTAGTTGTACGCGTCTGGGACGTGTTCGTCGTCGACGCCGCCGCCGTCGCCGCGGGTGAGTCGCCAGCACCGCGCGCAATGGTCCTCCTCGAGTTCGCGCCGCGTGATGAAACCTTTGACATTCATATGCCGATTCACCACGACCAAGTGGCGCAGTCCCGACGATCGAAAGAGCCGATAGGCGCGCGTGAAGGGGGCTTCTTCTTGTATCACGAACGGCGTCTGGTTCATGTACGGCGTCAAGTCGACCCAGAAATCTCGCTCGCTAGGCATCGGACGTCGTCAACGAGTTCAAACGTCGGGTCCGTACGCATCCGTGAGGGTGTACGCGACGTCTGGCTCGGGGTAGTTGGGGTACGAAGCTTCCATGTCGCGGTAGCTCAGGCACGTCAGCTCCTCTCGGCCTCTCTTCTCCGTGTCTTGCGGAGGATGCCGTGAAAACGGCCGTGGTTTCGCCACTGAAAAGTCCTTTTGTGCCAGCAGCACAGTCAGCTGCTTGCGCAGGATGACCCCGGCAAAGAACTTGGGCCCGAACGTCGGGTCGTCCACCACGACAGGGAACCCGTTGTGCGTCGTCAGGCTCAGGTAGTCCCAGATGAGGCCTACGACGGTCGATGGTGTGTGTTTTGTGCGATCTTCAGCGTGTACCTGCTCTTTCGACGGTGCGGAGGCACTTGGGATGCCGGGTCATGACGTGCTTGACCCGCATGCGCGACCCTTCCACGGGCGGGTCCCAGTCCAGAAACGGAAGTTGGCGCAAGTGAATGTGAATGTCGTAGATCCCGTGGTTAAAGTAGTTGCCGACCCACCGCGCCGAAAACAGCGTGACAATCAGTGGCAGCCCGTATTCAACGTTGCCTAGAACGACGTCATGCCATCGCAGACCGCGGCGTGCCTGCATGCGATGGATTGTGGCACCACCGCATGCCATGCAAAAGGGGTCGAGTTGACCCTCGCGCTCGTCATTTGCCCTGACGTACCTGTGCACTCCAACAGAATCACGGTCAGCGAGATCGTCATGCGCGTAATGCCCCCAAGCATGGCGGCCGACCCGATGAGCCCGTAAATTCGAGCGTCCGTGAGCTTGGCATGGGGAAAATGAGCCGTCACGTGGTTGATGAGCCGCGTCCAGAGGCGGCCGTAGGCAGCGCCGATGAGGAGCGCGGGAATAAAGAGACCACTTGGCACTTTCAGGCCATACGTCCAGCACGCGAGGCAGAATGTCGCGAGCCAAAACACTACCACGACGCATGAGCAACGAAACCACGGGCCATCGAGCCGCAAGCTCCACGACACGAGAACCCAACGTACGTACCAAGCAGAATTTGCATGTCAAACGATTCGGGCGGGGCGTGGAAGAGATGGCGGATTGCAGATTCCCCCGGGGACAGCAGCAGCGTTGCCAGGTCGTTGTACTGGCCCACGGGGCAGGAAAACTGCAGCATCTCTTCACGATACGGGTACGACTCTTCCTTTGTCACGTCCGCCATGAGGACGCCTTCGACTACAATGTCGACGTGCTTGACGGGAGGCAGGGGATGGCATGACCCGAACGCAGCACTCATCCAGAATGCCACGGTCGTCACAACCACCACCATCACGATTGCCTCCATGAGCAGCACAGCTTTGGTTTGAATCCACCGCGCGCGAAACCTACGCCACAACATACCAAATCAACACAACACACATCTTTCCTCGCGCCGACGACACAGGAACAGAGATGGACAGGCAGTAAGGCAGGCAGGCTTTGCTAGACGCCACCGCAGCCAAGTCCACAGAGAGTGCGGTGACACCGTCGTTGTCGACACCACTCGATGGATGATCGCAAGACCAACGGAAACACACCGTGATAGACGCAGGTTGATGGCATTGAAGAGCGCTCCCTGGATGCCTCCGCCCGCGCCCATGCAGATGAAGATCGGTATTTCCCATACTTGATACGTCGATAGCGTAAACGGACCAAGGGTGAATGTGCCTGCCTGGCCACCGAGCGTACCCCATCCACTGGCCGACATGCCTGAAATGAAGAATGCCAGCGTAAACGTCGACACCATGGCGCAAAAGAGTGTGCGCCACGTCAGGTTTTGGTTCCAGAACGACGCGCCTTCCTCCAGCACAAATAAGACGCCTCCGATGGGCGCGCCGAACGCGGCGGCGACCCCCGCTGCCGCTCCGCACGACAAAAAGTCGCGCTTCTCGCGGTCGTTTCGAAACCCAGCAAAGTATGTGAAGCTACGAACGAATCACAGAGGTCAAGTATTCGATCGCGGAACGCGCATGAAGTTGCCAAGCGAGAAAGGCGATGGACAGGGAGTGTGCGAATAGAAACCGACCCACCTCGTGTCGTACCCCAGCGCATTCGACTTTCCTTGGGATAGCCCCGCTGCGATGATGCCGCCGCTGTGTGGGGTTGAGCTTGGCGAGGAGAAGCATGACAGGAAGACAGATACCTGTGGATCATTGGCCCTTCCTTCCCAACGGGAAGACCGCCCGCCACAGAGCAAATCGTACCCAGCAGTTTGCAGCACAACGTGCGGAAGCGCAGCATGCGAGGGATCTTCATTCCATTCAGCATTGACTTGATCTCGGAAATTCCTACGACGACGCGGGTTAAAATCGACGTTGGTCGAATCACGGCATCCTGCAACTCGTAAGGGATGAGATGGACGGATGAGTGGAGAGGATATACCCGATCCAGCCGCGACAGGCTCGACGAAGATGGTCAAGACCGCCGCTATCAAGACGAGCCCGACGTTGATGCCCAAGAGTATGCCATACACGAGTGGGTGCACGTTCGTGTCTCTGATGCCGTCCGATGCGCTGAAAGGAAGTGAAGAAGTAGATGTTGTCGTGTTGATGAAGTGCTCCATGACATGACGCTTCAAGTGCGAGATGTTCTGCGTGCAGAAGAGCAGGAATATACCAGCCATGGCCGTCAAGAACCCCGTGAACCATGTGAGCATCCATCGAAAGAAGACAGAAAATCTCCTCTCTCGTCCATCGCGGTATTTGTACCCCAGTCCTGCGCATATACGCATGAGCGCATCAATCGCTGCTGTCGAGTGCGTGGGAGACTTGCCTGACTTGTTGACGACGCTCTCAAAGAGATCTATCGAAGACACTCGCTATAAGTATTCCCTGAACTGAGGGTACATTCACGCAGCGATATCACCATAATCAAGGGATTCAATATCCTTTGCCCGCCGCTGCATCGTTGTCACCGCGGCCGCTGCGGATCTCGGCCGCCTCGCGTGGGCTTCTTTCGAATCAAAGTGTTGCTCAAATTCTCACCAATCAAAAGGCACCATGGATTCATACGAGCCAATCAGAACAAAGACAGGATCAACGTACCTCTCGAGCAATGTCCTCACAGGCACGGATGGCGTGATCGCCGGAAGACACTAGCGGCTCTTCCGGCGAGATCGACCGCGCAACCAGGCGTGAAAGCGGTGTCATTTGAGAAGGATGACTGGCTAATGCTGTAGCGAGGACGTCCATGCGTGCACACGATGCACTTGGTGAGGTTGGGGCGGTAAGATGCGCCAGTAGGTCCACGAGATGAACATCAGTACCCGATAAACGTCCATGATCTTCCACGAGGGAGCAAACGACGGCTGCGTGAAGTCGATTCATGAAGGATTCACACACATGGACTTGCGAGTTGGTCGTCGCAAAAGCGAGGAACGTTACACCCTGACCAGTCGCGGAGGCGAGAATTCCACGGTCACATTTTACGTGGTCGACAGCATGGACGACATCTTGACGGAGGAAGAGATCGCAAACCTAGTCCATGATTCCGCGCCAGCGGCATTGCCGCAGCAACCCGTGAGAATCAACATGCAGCTCATCCGCAAATGTATGAGTTTGCCGCCCAGTGCTCATGCGACTGCCGTCGACGACGATGATGCAGAGTACACACGCCAACCATGAGACCATCGTCACCGCTCACTATGTCGTGCGGCGGTAGAGTCGAATCGTTGCTAGCCAAGACGGTGCTGCGCCTCGACTGGCAGGGCATCTCCAAGATCGAGAACCTGGACGTGTTCTCGCATATTCGGGACCTGTACCTGCAGCACGTACATTGCCCTTTCATCGGAACTCTATTGTCGTTCACATGGAACGGTTGCGTCGGACGGCTAGAATGCAATTCAATGCATCGAGAACCTCGACTTCCACGTCCACCTCGAGTTCCTGGCGCTCTCGCACAACGACATTACTGAGGTACGACTAACACGCGCAGCCACCACAGGCAGACTGGTCATGGAGTAGGTGACGAACGTGCTGCACTTGACTAAGGTACCTCCGACTGCCCTGTGGTGATCCCTGATGCGTCGGTATGCATTATTAGCTCAAGTTTCTTGACCTTTCCCACAACAAGATCGCCCGTGTCGACGTTGGTGCGTGATTGCTGGGTCATGCCTTTCTAACTTTGCCATGGCGGTGCGATCGCATCATCGGGTTGACGCTCACAACGTTGTGCTGACAGAGCACCTCCCGCCGTCGCTCGAAGTCGTTCGGTTTGCAGGAAACCCGTGGGCGCAAGCAGACCACGAGTACCAATTGACGCTATTTGAGGCGTTGCCGCGGCTGCAAGTAAGTGTTCGATGTCTGAGAGTGTCGAGATATCTGGTGCAGGCCATGGGCTGCCTGGATGTAATCGCATGCATTGACGAGACGTGGTGTAAAGATTGTGGACCAGTTCCGTCGGCATTCGAGCGGCGCTGACAGCCCAACGTACCATGGCGATGCCCTGCGCCAAAGCGTCGAAAGCCGTACGTGTGAAGATGAAATGACGACTTACTCGAGGCGGTGTAGAGCCATCGCCGTTCGACGCCACCACGTCGTCCCGTGATGCGATCAAGGAGCAAAAGGACGCGATGAGCGCCCGACACGCAGACAGGATGAAGCAGCTCAATGCTAGTCTGAATGAGGTACGAGTGATGGACAGTTGAACGTGCGGCTGACGATCGATGCAGCAGAAGAATCTAATCGTGGAGCAGTCCATGATGCGTATGCGTGAGCGGCGGCAGAAGCTCCAGCAGCAAACAGAGTCCTTCATGGCGGAAGCAGCGTCGCACGTGCAGGCATTACATGCCAAGCACGAGCTGTGGCGCAAGGCGCAGCTCGATGCCTCTACCCACGCGTCGTAGTGACACGCGTGGTAATCCTGGAATGGAACAAGGAACCAATTGCGTGTTATACTTGATATCCTCGTTTCTGCGCGCCCGCGAGTTTGTCGACAATGTCGCTGATCACAGGGAGGTTCAGGACGGTGCCAATGACGGGGGTCTGACGTAGGAATGCCACTGCCACGGGGAAGAACGACCCAAAGAGGTTCAAGAACCCAAACGATTGCACAATCATACCGATGATCGGCCAACGAACCATGACGAGGACGATGCCACCCAGAAAACACACAATGCCGCGCCAGCGTTCCGGCCGCGTGAAGAATTTGATTGTTCGTGTCAGGCCGATCGTGAGCGCGAGACCCGAGAGGAATAGAACATCACCGATAGCGAGGAGCGCAGAGTCGAAGAAAAGCATGACTCCTAGGAACAAGAAAGCAAAGCCCAGGCCCAGGAGCAGCGTGCCGATCTTGCGGTTGTCGTCGAAGTTCATCGCTGTGCGCGCGGTGTCGTCACGACTTTAAATGAGCGATTGGGAACTCTTCCAACCGGTCCAAGCAATCTGATTGGCTAAAACATTTTCAGCACCGACGAGTCTATTTTTCGCTATTTATTTCGAACAAGCAAATCATTTTGACCAATCAACACAATTCATTCGATCTATCTCATCATTATAGCCAATCAAATGCAAAAAGTGTGGGCATTCTGACGCATTTGCTGCTTGAGGTGGCAGAGCGGCATTGGAAGGTACGCGCGGGTCGCGACACGTCATGCACAAGTGCGGCAACGTTGCCGTGCTGGGGCGCTGCGGTATCTAAACATGTTGGACGCTAGGTCTACCCCGATTGCCGTGTGGCATTTCGTTGACGCCGACCAGCGCATGAGCGCTGCGACGTCTGGTGTAGCAACCGTTGAGTTGGTGCACGGCGGCGCTGCTCTGGTTGCTACAGGGCCAGGTCAAATCCTTGATCCGTCCGGGGTCGCACATCTCTTGTATGGAGCAGATATCGACCGAACGAAGTGTTTCCACTTGGCCGAGCCATCGACGTTCTCCCCGCGCAACCAAACTGCTTCAAAGGACGCTCGAACACAGGGCACGTGGCTGCTGCTCCATACATGAGCTTGCATCATCTCGCACATGCATCCTGCGCCACTAGCAATCCTGTTGACAGGTCGGCGAGGGGAACGGTCGCGTTTTGTTCAAAGCGGTATTCGATTGTCTTTGACACCTCGTGGAAGTGAACAATGGGGATGATGGGTCGGTTGAGGCCGACCCCTCCGATACCCCCAATGAAGCGTCCACCGCGCTGTTTGCCCGCAAGCGTCCACGAAGGCGGCGATCGATCGCTGTGCGCCGCAAACAAACACGGGCGGCTCGCAGGCCTGTCGGACTTCTTGTCAAGCTGCACCTGCGATCGCGTTCTACTTTATACCCATAAAAAGACGCGTTTAATCGACGGCAACAACTTTCCACCGTGTGACTCACGACGACGTCGGGCGGGACAGAGCCGCCATCCGGCTGGCAACCCGCTTCCGCGAACACTTCCACATTAAGGCCAACAGCACGCATGACAGAGCCTGCCGTGGGGTTCGTGGACACCAAGACCGAACGCGCCGCCGCAGTACGCAAAGAGTCCGTATGGGTCGACGACCATCACAACTCGCCCATCCTGTCGCCGGGCCGGAACAAGTCGATTCAGGTAGATTCGCGTGTCGAGTGCTTCGATCTCACACACGTCGTTCTTCCAGAAGCGACGAGTATGCATGTTTGCGACCGTCGCGATCATCATCATCGCCGGCGCGACAACGGCAATCCTCATGTTCCGTTTGAAATCCAAGGGAATGAACCTCATGGCGAACGAAGCGATCTTGAAAGTCCCTGTGTTCAAGTACGCGTGCGCGAAGGACCAGTGCGTGTACCAGAACCTGACAAAGGACGAGGTCCTGTCTGGTGTGCCTACGACGGGCCCCGGGATCATGAGTCTCCGCGTGTGCGAGATGACGTGCGGCAACGGCAGTATGCTGCCGCTGCCCCAGTCGCTCACGATCGCGAGCCCTCCGGGGGACACGGTCGCCGTCAACGTCGCGTCGTTCTCGCACCACGTGACCGGTGCCGCGGACAGCACACTCGTCCAGGACATGCAGGCTGCGTTTGACGAGCACATGGCGACCAAGATGAAGCTGGCGATGGGCGGCGTCGCCGACCAAGGCGACAGCGTCAAGGTAGTGGCGACGATCGCGTCGTCGAGCGTCGCGTTGACGCTGGACACGGACGAGTCGTACGAGCTGTCGATTGCGTCGACCAGCGTCACGATCTCGGCCAAGACTGTGTTCGGGTACCGCCACGCGCTGGCAAGCTTGGTGCAGCTCGTGGACTGGTGCGACATCACGCGCAGCCACCGGATGGTGCGGACGGTCAAGGTGGTGGACAAGCCGGCGTACAAGTTCCGCGGCGTGATGCTGGACACGGCGCGCAACTTTCACTCGATGGCAGCGATCAAGCGGCTGGTGCGGACGATGGGGATGCACAAGCTCAATAGGTTTCATTGGCACATCACAGACTCGTCGTCGTTTCCGATCGAGATCAAGTTCGAGCCCAAGTTCAACTTGTACGGCAACTACCAGAGCGACATGGCGTACAGCCAGGCGAACGTGAAGGAGATTGTCGCGTTCGCCAGGGTGCATGGGGTCCAGGTGATCCCAGAGGTCGACGCACCGGCCCACGCGGGTGCTGGGTGGCAGTGGGGGCCCGACTACGACGTGGGGGAGCTCACGCTGTGCTGGGCCAACAACCCGCTCGACAACCACGAGTGCTTCGAAGCGCCGTGCGGCCAGCTGAACCCGATGAACGAAAACGTGTACGATCTCCTGGACAAGATGTGGATCGAACTGGCCGGGCTCTTCGACTCGGACGTGCTGCACATGGGCGGCGACGAAGTGTTTACCAAGTGCTGGAAGCGGTCGCCGGTGGTGGCCGACGCCGTCCCGAACAGGACGGACGACGCAGGGTACTTTGACATTTGGGCCAAGTTTCAAGACCGCGTCCAGAACAACCTGTGGAAGCACTCGCCGTCGCGCAAAGTGATGCTGTGGTCGAGCGACTTGACCTCCAACACGTACTTCAAGTACTTGCCCAAAGACAAGATCATCGTGCACAGCTGGGCGGGCGTGCAGTACGGCAACGAGCCGCGCGACTTGGTCGACCACGGGTACTCGTACGTGGCGTCGTTCCAGGATCGCCATTACCTCGACTGCGGCCACAACGGGATCGACCGCAAGGACAACGGGTGGTGCGCGCCGTACAAGACATGGCAAGTCATTTACGAGCAAGTGCTGAACCCGAACATCACGGACGCGCAGATGCCATTGGCGCTGGGGGGCGAACTCGGTCTGTGGACGGAAGTGTCGGGGGAGGCGTCGATGGACGTACGTGTCTGGCCGCGCGCGGCTGCGTTTGCCGAGCGCGCGTGGACGAACCCGACGACGCGGTGGGACAAGGCAGTGGCGCGCATGACGATCGCCACGTACCGCGTGATCGAGAGCGGGTCCGCGTCCGACTTGATCCAGCCGCATTGGTGTCGCCAACGCCCGGGCGAGTGTCCCCTCATCGTGTGGCCGCAATAGATGTCGCGTGATGTAACATACTCCAATCGGAAAAAGTTTTCAAGTCGAGTCTGTTCGTGCTGGTCGGCCTCTTGTCCGAAGCCCTGTGTGTTTGTTCATGGACCGAGAGCGATGTGCACGTCGAAGGTGGCGTTCCTGCAGTGGGCCAGGGCCGCCCCAACCATTCATCTTGATGTCGCTCTAGTACGTTGTCGTATCGGCGCTGTGTTGAGCAGAAAGAAGGAAGCGCTGTCAAGAGGTCATGTTGGCAATCGTTTGAAAAATTTGCTGGACGTGGTCGACTTGTAGGAAAGACGAAGCGCATTTCCATGCTGTTGGGCCACAACCTTCAGCGCGTCGACGTCGCTCGGGTCAAATTGGTTGTTTGTGATGCTAAGCGACGAGAGGTTCCGCGCGACAGCGCCCCGGGCAAGATCTAATGCGCCGACCACGGTGAGGCAATTGCCATCCATCACGAGGTCTTTCAAGCATGGCGCTGCTCGTAGGTGGAGCGACATGGCTGCGGCGCCGATGTCTGTGATGTGGTTTCTCGAGAGATCGAGGTGTCGGATTGGAGTCGACGGCAAAATTGCTGCGAGATGGACGCATCCTTTGTCTCTGCATTTGAGCCCGCTCAGCACGACGCGATGTAAACAACGGGCAAAACCAAAGCTGTTGCCTAGGTGGTTGCGGATGCCGCGGACGACATGGCCGGAAGACGCTCCTTTGAACGTTTCGCGGTGGGAAATCGATAAGGACTCGACATTCGACTCATGCAGCGCAAGTCCGAATGCTTTCATGGCGTCGAGGGACAAGTCGCAATCAATCAATTGCACCGTCGCCATGGGCAGTGGATGCGCGAACGTTTACAAGTGGAGCAGCTTCGTTTCGACGACGACGAGGGCCTCCAACGTGGAGCACGTCGCCCACGCATCGTACAAGCTCGTCAGGGCAGACGGGTCTACTTCGGCCAGCTGCCATTGTCCGACTCTGAAGTGCGTCACGGGAGCTAGGTGGAACCACTTGGTGAGGTGGCCGACCATAGCCGTCGTTACAACGTGCGGCGGGCTAAACGGATCGTTCTCAAGAATAAGATCAGTGATCTGACTTGACCCGCACACAAATTCAAGCAAGGTCCCGAGCTGCGACGGTTGTAGACCTGTGTGGTCATGGAATGTGAAGCGCAGCGACCGCAACGAGTCACAAAGTCGAGGGAGAAATGGCACCCAGATCTCCGACCTTGGAATGGAAAAGGTGGCGCGCGTGGGTGGCAGCTTCGCCAATGCATCCACGAATGGTTCCATGGCCTCTTTCCACGCTGGTCGAATGTCAGTAGCATGGAGGTCCGTTGCCGGCGCCACGCGACACAACTCTTGCATCCAAGCAACGTCGACGACGCCGGAAAGCGCAAAGTGGGAATAGTGCTTGGCAACCACCAGCATCTGCGATGCTCGAGGGGACTCTGGTCGTGTGCCAACATGAAGATCAGGCCAGAGCTTCTCGTAGAGACACGACTCGCCAAGAATACGAATCATGCCAAGGTCGCCGAGGATGCCGGCGGAGTCGTAGGTTTCGAGGAACGAGAAAAAGGTAGCAACGTCGGGGATGAACAGCGCCACCCGCCGCATCAACTCGGGTGGCAGGACTAACTCGCCGACACGTGCGACCTGGTCGAACTCTGGTCTTGTCATGTTGACAAATTCGACGAAAACTGTCCATCTAGAAAATCACTCGTTTTCGGCTCTTTTTAATTGAAAAATTCGTTGCATTTTGGGACGGTTGTCGCCAGACCCTTCACAACGCAGTGCTGCGACCATCATGACGTCGAGGCGAGCACGCCCGCGACAGAAAACACGTCTTGGTCGCTCATGCGATCGCTGTCGAGAGCGGAGATGTCGAACAGGTTGGTCGAGTAGGTTGACAACATGGGTTTGTAAAGCATGAACTGGTCGATCGTTGGGCGTCTCAATGCATTCGACGATGGTACAACGATGGAATCTTGGGAAAGCCATGAGGTCGGGGTGCAGCGTCTAGAGCACGAATTGGGTCAAGCGCAGCCACTTCGTGCACATGGATACATTCGTCGAGCGAGGTGTCGATTTCAGGGACGAGCGATTACGCGTTCGAGTTTAGGCACCGGCGCAGGAGCGTCTTGGAAACTGGACGGGCTGTGACTTTCCGACTTGACGAACACCGTTGACGAGGACGAGTCG